TTACTTAATAATTAAGTTTGGTCTACTTAATAAAAAATTGAATTTTATATGTATTAAAAATTTAAGAAAATAATTTTGAATAACTAGCAGTGATCATTACCAATTATATAAATAAATAAATAATTGTATAACATATTGATATAGTATATTAAAATCATGCTGCATATTTCATATATAAATATAAAATATACATGTACATATATACGTACATACCAGTATAATGGAAATTAAATTGTTAAAAATTTTCTGTTGCTATTTGAGAATTACTTGTAAAAAATATCAGATTGCGTGATATTTTTATTTGAGACTTGGAAACTATATAATATATATAAGTACAGTCAATCCACTTAAGTATACTCTTTATATAACCTTAATTACTATAAGTGAGTAGTTTAATTAGTCTAATACAATTTATATATAGATTAATTTCCACATACACACATATATTTTTTTCTAATAGCATGCACTTATAGAAGATCGACTATAATTAATAGCTTTGCTATCTAATATTGATGTGAAATTTAATACGCCTGCTTGCAAAAAGTAATAATAGTTAGATGATCAATTAGTAATAAAATACACACATTAATGAAAAACAAGAATACAAAATATTTCATGTAATTACATAGTGATAGTTTTATTATCATGATAATTAAAGCTCTGCTCTTTGTTAACAAGTAAATAAATTATTGACAAGTAAATAAATTATCAATAGCAAGCATCTTTTGTTTAATTTTTTCATGATTATTGCATTTCTTTTTAACTAAGATATCATTTCCCTTTAACTAATAATCTTTCACTTAATTTTCTCACGATTATTGCATTTTTTAACTAATATATCACTTCTTTTTAACTAATTATCTTTCACTTAATTTTCTCACAATTATTGCATTTCTTTTTAACTAATATATCACTTTCCTTTAACTAATAAATACTATACTTAAATAAATTGGTTATAGAAAGTGTGTAAAGACATTTTTCATTTGTGCTTAATTTAACAACTACTTATTTTTTTTACTCTGGTTGGTTAAGCTTTTTTGTTAAAGATAATCATGAAGAACTTTAGGCTGAACTATCACTTTTTCTTGAAAATATTGAAAATAACCTCTTAATATGGCATGAAAGTGTTATTGACCCTGCTCAAAATGATAGTATTTTAGAATATAACTTAAACAAATTGGTTACAGAAAGTAAATAGAGATATATTTTATTTTGCGCTTTATACTTTATCTAACCACTTATTTATCTTTTTTGCTTGGCTCTAAATTCGGGTTAGGTTTTTTGTTAAAAATTACAATGAAGACGAACTATTTCTTTTTTTTAAAAATACTGCAGAATGTTATCCTTTAGTAGAACATGAAAATAACCTCATGATATGGTATAAAGATGTTATCAACTCTATTCAAAATAGTAAATTGGTTATGGAAAGTAAGTAGTGATGTTTTTATTTCACGTTTTATACATTATTTTTATTATTTATTTATTTTTTTTTTGCCTTGGTCCTGAATTCGAGTTAGGTTTTTTTGTTGAAAATTCTACAGAATATAATCATTTAGTAGAACAAGACAATAGCCTCATGATAGAATATGAAAGTGCTCAGAATGGTAATACGATAGGGAATGATAGAATTTATACAAAAGAACAGGTTGACAGCCAAAGTTCTGATATAGAATATTCTCAAGAAAGTATAGGATTAGAAAATGCTGCTTATATTAGTGTTGGTAATATCTTTTTTCGTGGGAAATAGCTGAAAAATGAGGTAATCTATATGCAAGATCAGTTAGATTTTGTTTATATTGTAAACGAGTTGAAATTGATAATGATAGAATTGTTTGTCAACAAATGCTTGAGTATAGTTTCTCTGGAGTGACTATTTCTAATAAGTAATTGATCTAACTCAACAATGTGAGTGATTATCTAGAAAAATTAGATGCTTCTGATACATCAATTTAATTTAACCTAAAACTTCATTAGTAGTTGGTATCACAAGTATCATTGGGGAGCACGATCATTTCATGATACCTGATGTGAGTTTATATGCTTCTAAGTATCGTAGACTATCAGATGATATAATGAAACAAATTAAATTCTATATTACCAAGAGAAACATGGGTTCAAAACAAATATATACCCTATTAATTGCAAGTTTTTCTGATCAAATAATATATAAGTAGGATCTTTATAATGCTATCCAAAAATTTAAATTACCTCTTACCAAACGTCAAGATGATGCTCAAAATATGATCAATAAATTGCTTGAGTTACAAGATCAAGAATCCAGTTGGATAATTAAAACGTAACTTGACCCATATAATAACTGACTTTTAGAATTATTTTGGATATCTTCTACACAACAACAAAAACTTATACACTATAATAATATAGTACAAATAGATAATACATATCAAACTAACTGGTTTAACATGTATTTAACTCTTCTAGTAGTTGTTAACAATAATACTAAAAGTCAGCTCATTGCTCAATACTTGTCAGATAATAAAACAACCAAAAGTTATAAGTAGTTTCTCAACTGTGTTCTTGAAGTAACTAATAATATTCCGCTGATTTGTTTGTTTTCTGATTCAGAGCCTGCTTTAATAAAAGCAATAATGTTAAAAATGCCTACTACTCATCACTTTCTTTGCATCTTTTATATACAAAAGAATATACAAAAAAATTTATGAAGTAAACTTAGTAAAAATTACAATCTATTTTATAAGGAATTTTTGTATACCAGAAATAGTTTATTTAAAATGATTTTTGTTGTTACTGGATGTATTTATTGAAAAAATATCCTCAAGTATGAGATTATCTTAATTACACTTTACAACTTTATATTGGTGCGTAGACAAAATACTTCCAAATTAAATTCTTCACAACTGGAATTCAAAGTACGTAGTGAGTTAAAGTCATAAATAGAATTATAAAAAATGGTATTAATAGTATATCTTTATTATATAATCTATATAATACAATTCAAAATCTATTGGATAATGAAGCCTAATAGACTCGATACAATTTATATCTTCAAAGTCTTCTAGTCAATCAAGCAACTTCTATAATTGAACCTATATTTCCAGATATACTCAAGTTGTTAAAAGATTATTTATCTTCTCATATTCTATCTGTTCAGCATCAGCAAATACTTGGGTTGTTACTCTATCATGCAAAACTAATTCCTAAAGAGACAATTAATATTATACAAGAAGTAAGTTATATAATATTAATAATAGTTGTTTATCTTTAGATAATAAAGCACTTATAAGTTTTTTTTTTTTTTTTAGAATCCTGATCAGCTTAGTTATAATACAGGTTTTCTTGAAGACCAACTCGATAGGCCGCAAATAGCAATTTATTTTCTTTTGGATAGAATACAATTATCAGACGTTTTGAAGATGTAGGAATATTTTGAACTTACAACAACATACAAATATTTTGTCGTTCTGCTAACCAATAGGGGTATTTATATACTTGTCTGGCTATTATTAATCGTGAACTTGTATATTTACACTTTTTTCATATTATGATAAATTTCAAAGCTGCTAAGTTCAATATTGAACTTATCACAAAATGATGATATAGAGATAGCATTTATGATCAGGATATTCAATCAAGTTTATAAGATATAACTGTAGAAGCAGTAACTCAGTTTCAATAAGTTAGTTTTGATTGTGCAGTAGTATCTGATTTGCATATTTTAGACTGTTTTAGAGTATCGTATATATTCATAACTAAAATTAAACAACATGTTCAAAAAAAAGTCAAATTTGTATCTGGTTTTAGAAAAACAAAGATAGCACTTAATTTAGCAATTGACATGGGCTATGAGGATGAATTTATTGATATGATTAATGACTTTATCAATCAGAAGAAAAGTAGTATTAGTAATGCAAATAATGAAAATGATGAAAATTTGCATATATTAGATTTCTTGGTTCAAAGATGATGTAGATATCCATCATATAAATGTATCAAATCATTAACAGAAAATAATTTATATGATGTTAGTACTAAATACAGTACAATTAATCTGGTTGATCTGAATCTATATATACACAATACATATTCAAAGTATGATACAAATATTACACTCAACTATTACAACATATACTTAGCAACAATTATAATAAAAATTATACTGAAAAAAATACTGAGAGCACTGTCAAGTGAAAATATGTATACAAGCTATATGGAAATCCTGATCATAATTCTCAGAAGTGTGATGGTAATGGTAATAAATAGGTCTAAAAAAGACTAGTTCATATATATATAGCACAAGATTCAAAGAATATACTTTTATTTGTTTTTTTTTTTTGGTGTTAAGGTGAGGTTTTGCCTCATATCTTTATTAGATGTCGAGTTTTTTTTTTTTTTTTTTTTTTGTTTTAAGGTGGTCTCTTTGCCGGCTCCTTTTTTTCGGTTTTTG